CTCCTCTTCCTATTCCGTCTAATGTGTGGGAAGATGTGTCTATGGATTTCATTACTTGTCTCCCTCCTTCATTTGGATACACTGTGATTTTGGTGGTAGTAGACCGTTTTTCTAAAGGGGTTCATTTGGGTGCTTTACCTGCCCACTTCACTACTTATAAGCTTGCCGAATTATTTGTTTCTATGGTTTGCAAGCTTCATGGCATTCCAAAGAGCATTGTGTCTGATAGGGACCCCATCTTTCTTAGCAGGTTTTGGACCGATTTATTCAAACTTAGTGGCACTAAACTCCACATGAGTTCTTCCTACCATCCACAAACCGATGGACAAACGGAGGTGATGAACCGGACTATCGAGCAATATTTGAGGGCTTTCATTTTTCACAAGCCTTCTCTTTGGTACAAATTTTTACCCTAGGTAGAGTACCACTATAACACCTCAGTTCATTCCCATTCTGGCCTATCCCCATATTAGGTTATTTACGGGAAGCCTCCTCCTTCTTTGCCTTCTTATGTTGTTGGGTCATCATCAATTGCAGCCATCGACAAGACATTGTCATCTCGTGAGGAGGTTCTTCGCCTGTTGCAACAGAAACTGCTCAAAGCGCAGATTCGCATGAAAGAGTATGCGGAAAAGCATCGCAGAGACGTGACTCATGAAGTGGGATCTTGGGTGTATGTCAAGTTACAGCCCCATAAATAGACTTCCCTTTCCGGTTCCAAGTATCACAAGTTAGCCAAACGCTACTACGGTCCATACAAGGTTTTGATGCGCATTGGCCCTATAGCTTATAAATTAGAGCTGCCTTCAAATGCCAAAATACATAATGTCTTCCATTGCTCCCGTCTGAAGCCACATGTCGGTCCTCCTCCAACTGAGGTTGATCACCTTCCACCCACCTTCATAGGTAGTCACCCCCTCACCACTCCTCTAGCTATTCTCGACTTCAAAACTGAGGACGTCAATAACACGCCAACCCGCTTTGCTTTGGTTCAGTGGCTGGGTCTGTCCCCTGACAACACCTCTTGGGAAAATTGGGATGAGCTGAAATCCTTGTACAACCTTGAGGACAAGGTTGAATCTCATGAGGAAGGTATTGTTGCAGTAACCCCTTCAAGCAATACTATTATTAGCAGTGAGAGGCCCAAACGTGCGAGTCACAAGCCTACAGAGTGGGATGATTTTATTCACTATTAGTTAATGAGTCAACGAAGTTCTAGAACCTGTCCTATTTGCGTACTGCACATTTGTACCCATTAGGGAATATTGTAGAAGGGTTGGTTATTTATGATTGTAAGGACCATTATGAAAGGAGGGAAAAAAAAATATTTTCTCTCCTTTACTCTTCTCTTTCTTAGGAGGTTTCTCTGTCCTCGAATACAGAGAGTACGCGCCTTCCCAATAGACTTTGGGCTGCAACATGTTTCTATTCCCATGTTGGATTTTAATACAGCAGCAAATACTGCAGCGTCTCATGAGCAATCAATTCTCAAGCCTTGCATGTACAAAGATGTGAACATTCCAAGAACAAAAGAAAGCGTGGGGAGCGCACAGCCAGATTTGGTGGTTGGAGCAAGAAATGCTTAGGGGGATCTGAAAACCACTAAGGCTTCTTAATCTGCAGTATTTGTAGTTGATTTGACAGATATTGTTTTAACTTTAAAGGTCATAGTGAACAAGTATTATTACAGAATCGTTTGTAGTGAGGAAATTACTTCTTTCATTCTGACCTTTGGTTTTTATACTTCACACCCATTTTCAATTTGGGTTTGGGTGTAGGCACACTCTTTTCAATTCGATCAATATATGAAAGAAAAAGTGCATTTAATTTTTACATATATATTTTGTTTTTGAGTTGATTGAAGAGGTCTGCTCTTGTTTAACTAGGAAGTTACAGGTTTGAGTGCGAGGCTGCTTATAAGATAGACTCGTAGTAAGTTTGATCCAGCCTTCCCTAGATTGTTCTGACGGGAACTTTGTAGCACCATGTTGCCCTTTATTTTAGCTAAACAATCCATTGATTAAGCAATTAAAAGTAAAAAGTTTTATTAAATACTGTTACTTTTAGTCTTATTTATGATAAATAATTATTAATATTTTTTAATTCAAAATATAAGAAACAAAGGTTCTGCTTTTAATGCATTAATTGTTAATTTTTTTATATTTTTATTTAATATGAGATTTATGTTAACAAAATATTCATCTTTTATTTTTTAGTTTATAATTGAACGCATTCTTTCATTTACTATATTATATACTGATTAATACTTATTTCTAAAATAGAGCATAAATTTATAAAATTTAACTACTTTTTATTGATATTAATGAACTAAATATTTATTTTTATAAATATAGTTACTTTTTGTTATTAATAAATTTCTCTTATTATTTTAAATATATCTAACATAATTTTATTTTTTTTCTTACTCTTAATTATTTTATCAATATATTTGATAAGTCCCTTATTTTTAATTTGTTTTTATCTTATTTTCTGTTATAATAATAATGTCAAATTGTTGTCTTGTCAAAGTACATTAAAAGATGAAAAATGATAAGATGCAAAAGTTAAATAAAAATGTGATTGGTTTAAAAATAAGATATATTTTTTATCTTATTTTATATATTTGCTTAAAATAATAAATTTAAATAATATTATGTTATTTCTATTTTATTTATTTTTAACTTAACTCTTCTCTTTCAGATAGATTAGCTTTATATTAGAAGGATAGATAAATTAAATTTATAAAATAGACTTATCTTAGTTAAATAAGCATTAAAAATAATTTAAGATAATTTTTTTTATCTTATATTCATATTATGTTCATTAAGTATTTTAATTACTTAAAAATAAGTTATATTAAAAGATCACAAATACAGTTTTTAATATTTTTTTTTCAATTAGTGTTATGTTTTAAAAGTATCAAATTTTGTGGGAAATTAATTTTATTTTATAGATCAATTGGAATTGTTTAGTTTTAAATGTCTTTATCCTTGAGAACTTGTTCATACAGTGGTAAAGTAGACATAAGGTTAAATGAGGTTTGATGAGTGATGAGTTTATATAAACAAATCAGAGGTTGCACATGAATATACTATGCATGCATCATCATATATTTGTGTGCTTATGAACTATCTAATCTATTTTATTTTAATTTTGTATGACTTATAAATACTCTAGTTGTCACTTTCTATATAATACAATTCCATAAGTTTGGCCTTGTGTGATGTGGTATCCAAAAAAATTTTTATAGATAGGATAATAAAAAATTTATACCAATAAAAAAGAAACATCGTGACAAGTTATAAAAAATATATATTATTATATACAATTTATTTAAAATATATTATTTATATTATTTGTTACATGGTCATATTTTATATATATTTTGCATATTAAATTTCTTATTTTATTTTTTTATAAATTTTTAGTTTCAACTAAAATATAATTTATATTTAAGTAATTTCTATTTATTATAATAAAATAAATTATAACATAATATATTAATTAAATAATTAAATATTAATAATAATAATAAAATTAAGAATATAAAAAATATATTAATATAATATTATTTTATTTTTTTAATTTTAGTTTATTTAATTTTGATTATATCATATTCTCGTCCAAAAACTTAATCACTTTTCAGCTTGTTTAAATAGAATAAATATAATAATTTATTATTAAATAAATTTATTATTTAAACACATATATAAATATTTTTAATTTTAAATAAAATATAATTTTTATTTATTATAAATAAAAAAATTATAATATAATGATATAATAATTAAATATTAATAATAATAGAATTAAGAATATAAAAAAATATATTAATATAATATTTTTATTTAATTTTAAATTTTAATTCATTTAGTTTTAATTTCACTGTGATCCTGTTGAAAAGTTCAATTACTTCTTAATTTTTTTAAATATAATAAATACTTATTTAAATATTATTAGTTAAAATTTTTCAGTAATATGAAAATGTTTAAAGATATTACAAAATTTACCTAAATGTAATTAATTTTTATCTTTCTATAACACTACATTAATTAAGTAATGCATTTATTCCACTATCGAATTATAGAAAATAAAAATTTATTAAAATAATTTTCTTCACACAAAAATAAAAAGAAAATTATTACTTTAGCCTCGTGTTTTATATCTTTCTCTTGTAGTAATATTTTTCACAATCATTTTTTTATTAGATAATTTTGATAATTATTTTCACAAATGAACAAAATTTTTATTGATTAGGTAAATTATAATTCTTGTTAAAGACTATTTAAGTTTTTTCATGAGATAAATAATTTTATTTTAAATTTAAAAAGATAATTTTGGTTTTAATTTTTTGATATTGAGAATTTTTTATTAGTTAAAAAAATAATAAAATAATGCAAATAATAAGATGGTAAATAAAAGCACATAAGTAATAAAATAAATTGAGAAGTATAATATTAAAATGTAAAATAAAAATAATTTCAATGATAAAAGCAAATAATTAATAGTGAAGTTCAAAGAATTAAGCTTTATTAAAATTTTAAAATACATTCTTAAAAATTAAAGAGATGTTTAAAACTTAATTATTATTTATTTAAATTTAACTATTTTGTAAATATAATTAACTTTAAATTAATAATATATATACTTTAATTTATAAATTATTTTATACAGTTTTTATTACGAAAGAAATAAATTTAAATCAAATAAAATGAAAGATTTTGATTAATCTAAAAAAATTATATCCTTTATATTATTTAAAGATAAATTATGTTTAGACATCTAAAAAAAATCATGCTAATAGATAGATTTGAATAGTTAAAATAATTTAAATATTACATTTTTTTATTATTTTATGATTAGTAGAAAAGACTCACGTATAGTTGAAATTTTTGAAAAAGAAAAAGAAAATTTGGAATTAAAAATTAAAAAGAATAAAATTTTGAGAGCTTAGGGCATTTACGAATACCCCCAATTGCCCCCGTCGAGAAACCACCTTATTCCGAAAGTATTTGCATTGGGGGAAGGAAGGAGGCACAGCTCCTACGAGCCGAGACTCCTGTCCCTTGATGCCGCCGAGACTCCCAAGTTTCACGTTTCCAAAATAGATTTGCTTTGCACTGAGGGAAGTAAGAAGGCACGGCTCGGACGACCTCACCGCCTTGGCTCCGACCATCTGACGCCGAGCCTTCAATCACCTGACGCCGCCGAGGCTCTCAAGTTTCACGTTTCCAAAACAGATTTTCTTTGCACTGGGTGAAGTAAGGAGGCACAGTTCCAACTATTCAACGACTTCAAGCTGCCGAGGCTCGACCACCTGACGCTTCTCAAATGGCAGTTAAGTTTCACGTTGTGTCTGCTTTACTTTTGAGACACCGCTTTTATTGTTCCTCTTCATGTGTCTCCAGCTCTCATTATTTAACTCACTTTCTGCCTATTGGAACTTCTAATTTCAACCCTTTAAATATAATTAGTCCAAGAGAACGTAGAATTGTGGTTGTGGGCTTATCTACTATCATTAAAAATAACAATGCTTTTGTGCTCAAGGCCTTCTCTCTTCGATTTTGTCCCTTCTTCTTGGTTAAGATTATGAAGTTGTTAGACAGACGGGATGCTGCGTTTGCATTCTTTAAAATAGCGTTCGGTGATGCACGTGACTCCGAGAAGGATATCGTTCACTTAAGTTGCATCGCAGCGCATGTTTTGGCAGCCCAGAAGCTTCAACTGCTTGCGCAGGACGTGGTTTCTTGGGTTTTTGCTAGAGTTGGAGCTAGTGGAAGCAAGGAACTGGTAGACCTCATGTGGAGGAATCATTCTACGTATGAGTCTGATTTTTCTGTGTTAAATACCCTTATGCGTGGGTTTTTGAATGTAGGGATGAGTTTTGAGGCATTTCAGGTTTTACATAGGATGAGGATTGTAGGAGTGAGACCTAGTTTATCTTCGGTTACCATTCTTGTAAGGTTGCTAATTAAGGTTGGTGACTATGGTAGTGTGTGGAAGTTGTTCAAGGATATGCTTGGTGTAGGGCCTTGGCCTTCGAATATTACATTTAATACAATGATTTGTGGATTTTGTAGACAGCAGAAGCTTGTAATAGCAGAAAGTTTGTTTCATTTGATGCCCAAGTTTATGTGCAGTCCTGATGTTTTTTCTTATAACATTCTTATTAATGCTTACTGTGTTAAGGGAAAGACTTCAGTTGCTATTGATTGGCTGCATTTGATGATAAAAGACGGTTGTGAGCCGAACATTGCCACGTTTAATACCATTATGCATGCTATGTGCAGGGAAGGAAATGTGGTGGAAGCACGGAATCTCTTTGATGGAATTCAAGATATGGGAATCACTCCGAATGCTGCAATATACAATACGCTGATGGATGGATATGTCAAGGCAAGAGAGATTGGTCAAGCTAGCATGCTTTATGAAGAAATGAGGACTAAGGGAATTTCTCCTGATTGTGTGACCTTCAATATTTTGGTTGGGGGGCATTATAAATATGGGAGGAAAGAGGATTGGAACAAGATGTTGAAAGAGTCAATAGTATTGGGATTTTTTCAGGATAGTTCACTGTATGATGTAACAGTATCATGGCTATGTTGGGCTGGCAGACTTGACGAGGCCATGAAATTATTACAAGTATTGCTTGAAAAGGGACTAACTCTTAGTATTGTTGCTTTTAACTCATTAATAGGAGCCTATAGCAGGGCAGGTTTAGAAGACAGAGCTTTTGAAGCCTATCTTATTATGGTTAAATGCGGTTTCGCTCCTTCATCGTCAACATGTAATTCTTTGCTTATGGGTTTGTGTAGGAAAGGGAGGCTGCAAGAAGCTAGAATACTTTTGTATAAGATGTTAGAGAAGGGGTTTCCCATCAACAAAGTGGCTTATACTATGATTTTAGATGGATATTTCAAGATGAATGATCTGAATGAGGCTCAATTTTTTTGGAAGGAAATGAGAGAAAGAGGTATGTATCCAGATGTTGTTGCCTTTGCTGCATTAATAGATGGACTTTCAAAAGCGGGTAATGTTGGGGAGGCATATGAAGTGTTCTTAGAAATGTCAGCTATAGGTGTTGTTCCTAATTATTTTGCTTACAATTCTTTAATTCATGGATTCTGCATTTGTGGGAGGATGACTGAAGCATTAAAATTGAAGGAAGAGATGAGGCAAAAAGGACTTCTTCCTGACGTCTTCACCTTTAATATCATCATTGATGGGTTTTGTCGACAGGGAAAAATGAAGCCTGCAATTGATACATTTCTTGACATGCACAGGATTGGTTTGGTGCCTGATGTTTTCACATTTAATGTATTAATTGGAGGATACTGTAAGGCATTTGACATGGTTGGTGCAGGTGAGATAGTTAATAAAATGTACACATTTGGGATTGAACCAGACATCACTACCTATAATATACACATGCATGGTTACTGCAGTAACCGAAAAATAAATCAAGCAATTATCATTTTGGATCAACTCATCTCTTCTGGTATTGTTCCAGACACAGTGACATACAATACTCTGATGACTGGTATTTGTAGTGATATATTGGATCGTGCTATGATTCTTACTGCAAAATTACTTAAGATGGGTTTTGTGCCAAATGTGGTTACAATCAATATATTGTTGTCTCAGTTATGCAAGCAGGGGATGCCAGAGAAGGCCTTACTATGGGGTCAAAAGTTTAGGAAAATATGCTTTGGTTTTGATGAAATCTCCTACAAAATATTGGACCAAGCTTGCCGTTTGATACAGGATGATGTGGAAATTGTGAAAGGAACATGTGAAAAGGGCCTTTTTTTGGATTTCTTAATGTACATTACATTTGACTATTTTTCAAAAAATAAACGTCACAAGATAGAAAATGAGAATAGTGTAAAGTTGATTGAAAGTCTATTCATTTCTTTGTCAACTTGAATGTTTCATCTTATTGTAATTCTTAAAATCTGCCACAATATTGTTGAATGAGAACAATAGGTTGCAATATGATAACTCAGTCATAACACTGTTAGTAGTGACCTTCAGGAAGCTGTTGAGGAGGATTATGAGGTTGGACAGTAACCAAAAAAATCCAATGCTTAATCAAATCAGGTTTAATAAGGAAATAAAACAGTGAAAATCGAAAGCAAATCTTGCTTATTTTCTGCTGTTTCTCCAGCAATCTTTTCTAGATTTATGATTCTCTTAGGAGTTTCTCTGCTCAACTACTTGCAAATGCACAAACAGCTGCTGAAAATAACAAGGTAAATTACTCTCTGTATTACTTGTTTCTTCTTCCTTTGTTTGGTTGTTTCATTAGCTTGTTCTGATTGTTTTTTTGGATGGACCTTTTTGTCTTTAAATAGCAGAAACAGGCTTGTGCTAATGTAGCTGGGCCTCCTGCTGTTGCTGATGGAGTGGCTAAAAAGGCACCACCTTCCTAATTGGGCCAGAGAAGGTCAATGTGAAACCAAAGCCAAAGCATGATGAAGTCACACACTCTTACTTCTGTGCTTATAGGTAGAAGCAAGGTAGGTTTTGATAAAAATTAAATAGAAAAAATGCAGAAAAAATATGCATGGCTGAAGTCTAAACCATTTTAGACAATAGTTACAAAATGTGCTAATGATGTTTTTGTTGCAGGCAACATGTGGTATAACTAACAGGCCTAAGGAGCATATTGTTAACATTGATTCTGGTGACGTTGACAATGAACTTGCTGCTGTTGAGGTATTGAACATTGTTCCCTTCATGATGAATAGTTAAAGAATGACAATTTATATATCTATCGCATGCAATATTGTACATATTTAAGGTCTGAACATGTGAAGTTTAATGAGAACAAGAAGTTCTTAGTTTATTTTTTCAGACAGGTTTAAGGAACTAGTTTAGTAAGCTGCTAAGCTAGTCCTTAGTTTTGGTCTGTCACAGATCCTGTTCAGCCGATGACTTTGGATATTGGGTTTTGGTTTGAGCTATAGAATAATTTGTTTTGTTATGTTCACTCTTTAATTTATGTGAATTAAGTGGATAATACCAGTGTAGCCTTATTTTTGGTTGAAAACTGCTTAATTAAAATTCATTCAAGTTTGTTGTATTTGTTTTTCCCCATTAACATGTCGTTTAATGTAGATAATATAATTATATGATGTCCTTGTACAGTGTGATCATATGAGTAACTTAGTAACAAAAAGCCATGGTATTCCAAAACAAAAAGGTTGTTTGTGAGGGGCATGCCTTGTACACGTAAAACTGCTCACCTCCACTTAGTAACTTGAGCATTTAAGATGATTTGTTTCTTGACAGTAACATAACTTTTCAAATTTGTTTGGGTAATTCTTTAGTGAGAAGTCAATCTTTCATTTATTCTTTTTGTCATTTTGCATGTTTCGTTGAATTGTTGATTGATGAAGCATGGCAGCATGAATTTATATGGTGTTATATTTACTTATTCAGCATACGCAAAGAAGATTCCCTCAGATTGTATTGTTGACTTATAGTCCATTGCTGCATCATGCAAGGGATATGTTTGATGTGGAGGCTTTATGTCGTGAAGCTGCCATGTTTGCAATTAAAAGGTCCTCTAATATCAATGGAGACGCAAGTAAATTTAGTTTCACAATGGAAGATTGGAATAATGCAAGGTCTGTTGTTGGTCCAAGTATGACAAGAGGTGTTGCTGTGGAAATCCCCAAAGTGACTTGGGAAGACATTGGAGGGTTAAAAGAACTGTAGGTTTGTATATTTTACATTTAATTTTGGTTAGAATCTCATTAGTCAGTGATATTTGCACCTATGAAGCCTAGATGCTTAGTACGACAAAGGGAAATGAGAAAAAGGATAAGAGTATTTTTGGTAATAAAAATTACAAAAAATATTAAAAAGACGATATAGGTAGAAAAAAACAGGAGTATGAAAAGCAATCCCCTCCTTGATTTGTTTGTGGGTTCTCGTTCGTGACCCTCTTATCCAGTGAAAAGAAAAATATATGCAAACTCTTAATTAGTTGATTTTGTATTGGTTGAATTTACTCATGAACTTGGACATTCTGAATTTGAGCAGGCAAAGTTTAGAGGCAGCTAAGTTTGTGAAAGACAACCTAACACCCCTATTCTTCCATTCTACGTGAAGATATAGAGAATAAACCAAAATTCAGTTCAAAAGTTGCACCAAGGAAGGAAAAGGTGCAATTTGAAGGGTTTGAGTTACATGGGTCACTGTGAGAAGCCCATCACTAAGGTGGAGCCCTTTCTAGTTGGAGGACATGGAAGTTGATCTAGTGAGTTGGACAAATAAGGGTGATTTTGCATCAAACAGAAATGAGGACCCCGATGCAACTGAATATTCAAGTTCGTTTGCTGACACTACATCTGATGCTGAAAATTGTTCTATATTGAGTGATGCTGAGGTGGAGTCAGAATTCTTGGGTGATAATGCCTTGGGAGGAACCTTTGATACTTCTCGATCTACATTTCCACTCAGGTGAATTTTTTTTTTTTCCCAAATCAGTAAATTTTAAGTTATTTTTGCTTGGACGTAGATTTGCAATCAGTACCTAAACAAATAACCCAGGTCCTGTGAATTTGTTGACTAGCGATCAAAGTTATGAACAAAATCCATATTATGCACACAAATTTTCAAGTTAGATAGTGGGCGTTTAAGAATTAAAATCTTAATATATATAGACTACTTGAGTAATGATTACAACACCCCAGCCACTACAATTGCCTTAGTTTTCCATGGATATTCTGTTGAATCGATGTATGTGAAATGCAAAATTGCAAAATTGCAAAATTGCAATCATCATAACTATTTTCGAATGGTATTGGCCCTTAGTTTTGTCCATTATGTTAGATCTTTCTAACATAAAAGGAGTAAAGAAAGAAACCTTTCAAATTTATTTGCTTACTTGCAATACCCTTAGGCATGTCATCTACTTAGGAGAAGTTGTAGAGGTCCACTGGTTTATTGCCTCTGAAGACTAAAGGAGTAGATAAAAGAGAATTCGCTAACTACTTAGATAAATTAATCCAGACTTAGTAAAATGTCAAGGTTGTAGATTGAAAGAAAAAGGAGCAAGAGGTATTGTGAAACAAATTCGTACTAATCCTAAATTTTTTTTTTCCAGGAGTGGGGATGGGGGACACTTGAAGTTAGTTGTGGTTGCATTGACTTAGGAATTGAGATTGCACATTGTTAACAACTAAATTTCCTAAAGGTTTACACAATAAGGTGATCGGAAGCTCAACTATGGTTATATATTTATAATAAATGTATTGGGGAAGCTCATATTTGATTGGTTTATTACTTGTCATGTTACCGAAAGCTGTAGATAAATTTAAAATAATTTTGATATTTTATGTCATTAACGTTTGATTGTAAATTACTAGAAATGAAGCTCAAGTGTTGTGATGCTGTAGTATTTCACATTATCATAATTGAAAAAATTTGGGTTGTCTCTTTGATTTTCTTGGTGAGGATGAAATGTAATTAGAAATCAATGATCAGATTTTGTCCCAATTTTCATGGAGACGTCAGAGAAAAGCAAGCAAATGATTATGGGAGACTTTATATTATATACTAAAATGAGTGTTTCTTATAATTGTGTATTTTTTTATTGTAAATATATAAAAAAATTCAGAATATCCATACAATCATGCAGCAAATAAATTTCACCAATATAAATAATAAAAAAAAAAACTTCGTAGACTTTTGTTTTTACCAATCATATATTAATAATTAGTGATTCTTTTCAGATATTATATGGGTATTATTAGCTTAAAAAATTAATTAAATAATTAAAAATATTAAATAATTATTTTTAAATTTGAAAATTTTTACAAATTTAAACAATTAGTTAAATATTTATTATTAACAAATATTTTAATATGTTAAATAAAATTAAATAAGATGAAAAATATTAAATAATATTAAATTAAAAAATAACTAAATTTGATTCCCGCACTTATTCGCAGATTAATACATTTTTATTTATGATAAATAATAAATTATTATAAAAGTTATAAAATTCATTGTTAATTAATTTTTAAAAACGTTTATAATTAATAAATTATAATTTAATTAAAATTTATGGACATGATATCATATTTTTCTATTATTATCTAATAACATAATATCATAGTAGCAAAAATATTAATTTTTATAATAATTTTTTAAAATATAACTATTATATATTTAATTGGTTGATTGTATAAAAAAATTTACATAGATAACACATTAAAGTTATATTCATAAAATTTTCAGTGTTTATTTTTTAAAACAGTCATAAAATTAACTTTATAATATAAAATATATTAACTATATATGAAACAAATATATTTAAAATATTTAAAGGTTATATTTTCTCTTACATAAAAATTTAAATAAAAAATAATTTATAGTATGTTTAAAAAATATATAATAAAATGTTTGATTGATAATTTAATAAAAAATTATTGTAATAAATTTTTTATCGAATTATAATGAAAGAGAAAGAGAAGTAAGAGAAAGTGAACAAAATAATAGTAAAAATTAAAGTTAAAGTTAAAGTTAAAATTAAAATTCAATTTTGTAATTGAAGATTGAAAGCAGAAAAATGGTTTCTTTATATAAATAAAGGATAAAAATATAAAAAGTTATACTCATAAATTATACATAAAAATTATTCTATAAAAAGATAAAAATCTAAGTGTAGTATTATAAGTATTTATAATATTGTTCTCTAACTAGAGTTATAGTTTTATCTTAATTATACTTGCAAAATTTAATACTAATATTTATTAACGAGTTAGCGAAGTAAAATTTTAATTTTAACCGTGACAGTTAAATTTTGTTCACATATAAATTATTAATTTCATCACATTATGTAATAATACTTTATTAAATACACGTATGAAAAGATTGTACATTGACTCGTCAAATTTTGAAGTAACATTTTGTAAGACCGAATATTACAATATATTCCTTTGAAATTGATTCACTGTTTCGCATATTCGGTTCACATTAAATTGAAATTGTTGAATATGAAGAAGACATTTTCTAAGAAATCATATAAAGGACCTAGAGGTCAAATGCAAAGGTTATAAAGAAGACCTACACATTTAGGTGCAACAATTCTCTTTTCTTAATTTCCCTATCTCATAGTCTTTAATTATTGTTTAGAAAAAGTAAATTACTACCTTATATGTTGCCATTTGGTGTGCATCACACATTGAAAAGAATGCGTATCACTAAACATTGATTAAGGATATAGATTGACTTTTAATGAGTTAGTTATCATCCATTTAAGCAATCAATTTTCTAAAGTGGATGCAACTTTTAATATAGAATTAGGAAAATGAACCAAACGGTGATCCATAAGCACACGCATGCCTTTGAGTTTGACACAAATGTATATATTATACAACACAAATTGGACAAGATCAAATGCAGCACCGCCAAGCCCAAAATTTGATGCTCTTTCTGATCTATTAAGGTATAATTTATACACGTATTTGTGGTCCAACTCTGCTATGATCGATAAACCAAACTGCGGTTCTGTCGTGGTTCTTTTTGGCAGAGTGTGCTAATAATAACTTCATAAAACAAGAGAAAACAGTGTCCCTGTCACTAAGTTTAGTTATTATCAGTTATATCAAAATTTTGTCAAGTTATTAATTGGTGCGTTTCAAGGAATAATAAAATAGAATCTGAAGACTTTGGGATGCATCAATGGGTTATTAGATGAAGTAAGCAAAGATTAGTTTCCAATAAAGTATGTCTTAGTTGAAAAAGACGTGTTATGTTGTTTAATTTGCACTAGGTATGATTGCTAAGTTGATTTTAAGTAATTAATTAACGATTTAATCAACTTACGTAATCATTTTTCATGAGCTTTCAAAGCGTATATGAGAAAGTCGTTTATATTTTTTGTCAATATGAGAAAGTTATTAAACAAAAAAATAAAAATAAAAATAAAAATAAAAAACACCCTCTGATGTAAGTTTGAACTGAATCAATTCAGTCCATTTTTGTCATGGGTTAGCATCCATCAACCATGAATAGCTAACATATAAATTAAAAAATAAGAGTGTAAACTTCGATATAAAATTAGATATAGTTCACGTTTCAATACCATAAAGATATAAAAAAGACTAGTTATCATACTAACCCTCTGTTTGGTTCAAGGAAAAATAAAATAAAGAGAAAAGGAAATTTTTTTAATTTAAATTCATGAAAAATGAAAGAGGATAAAATTTTGAGATTTTCTTTTTAAAAGTCAACTCTGTTTCTTTAACCCAATAAGAAAATATCATTAATAAATATATATACTTTTTATTTTCTTTTCACTTATCCAAACAAACCAGAAGTTATAAACTATTAGCTATCTACTGTTGCTGCTGCCATGTCCCTTGTAAATTGAACAACTGGGCTGGGCCTTGGGGTTGGTGAAGTTATAGTTGTGACTGAGATACAAATCCAAAATTTTTAAGGAGTTTTGGAGTTGTTGTTTAACTATGTAAACAATAACTATTTCTACTATTTTGAGCTAGTATTGGCTTATCCTGTGCTAAACCAACCTAAAAGAGCATTAAAATTTTAATATTAAATACAATTCGTTAGCATTAGTCATGCCAATGCTTAAAGATGACAACAAGCTTCCAGTAACATGCTAAATTTAGACGAGAGAGAAAACAAATCCACTCATCAGATTATACAATATTATGACATGTTATATCATAAGACTTGGGCAGTATTTGATAAAAAAGAAGAAGTAATTTATATAATTAAAATTGTTTGATAAATTAGTTGTGCAACTAATTAATTCATGTTAAATGATTTAAAATAATATATAATATTATATTAATGTATTATTAAAATTAAATACTTACTTTATTTATCTACTATCAATTAATTTATTAAATAATTATATAAAAATATTCTCTTCATGTATGTTTAAATATAAAATATTTTAAGTTATATTTTTTAATATAAAATACATTTAGATAGAAGAGACGAGAGAGCATGTGGAAAAAAGAAAGAAAGAATGAGACTATGGTGAAGAGAACAAAAAGGTGATTATATTAACTTATATATATGTCAGAAAATGGATGGTAAAAATGTAATGGAAAAATTAGTAGCAAATTTTTTAAAATTAAATGCTTAAATAACTTGGAAAAACTACAAGCTCTTTTTATTTTTTATTTATTAAATAACTATAAGTTTATTAACCAAGTGAAGAAGGACTTTGTTTTTCGGTTTCACTCACTTCCTCACTCTTTCTCATAATTTCCTTTCCTTGTCTCACATTTTTATTAACTAATTAAATAGGTATTAAAGGCTCAAAATTATACATAATGAATCAAGCAAAGAAAAAAAAATGACCCTTGTCATTTAAAAAAATCAAGAAAAAGGAGTACAAATTTAAATAATAAAAAAAAACTAAAAATAGAACGCCAAACTTAAAGAGCCTAAGCTAAAAAAAGTTTAAAATACAAGTCAAAATTTAGTTAAAGCTGGTTAGAGTTGAATATTGTTAATTTCTATATTAGTAAGTTAGTAAAAATCAAAGAGTATATAAAAAGAAAGTCATAGGTCTAAATTATCTAAGGAATTTTATACAAACAAACCACTCAAGCTTGAATCCTCTAAATTTTGCATTGAATGTACAATCAAAATCCTAATATAGTATCATTATTTTTTTCTTTTACTTTCTATTACGTTATTTTTATTTGTTTCTCCCACTTTGTGTGTCTCTGATTGTCACATGTTGTGTGTTACAAGTGTTTGTTAGAAATGGTTTGCATAATAATAGAAACAAAATTCAATGATATCTAAATGTACATGCAATATCCATGTTTCAAAGTATACATATACAAATATTTATTTGTGTAGCTTAATTCAGTAAGAAATTAGAGGATTGAGATTTAAATTATAGGTATTAGTAACTTATGAAAATGTGTATTTTTTGTTACTTCTAGCTATATGATGCATTAATGTAAGTGAATATATATTTATATTAAAAATTATTATTGAGAGAAAATATATATAATTAACTAATACTAGAAGTAATTTAGTTTTAAGTTGTTGCTATCATTATTTTGATTGCTCCAAAAAAAAAAAGTAATATTAACAAGTATTAATACCCACAGAGATAGTTTAATTATTGATTCTAATTAATTAGATCACAAGTTGAACAATTAAAAAGAATAAAGACTAAAATGATAAACAATGTAAAAGAAATGTAAGATTTGATAAAATTAGATGTTAAAATAATTTATTTTAATTACGTGTTAACAAAATGCAACATTAATGTGAATATGTCTCTGACTAGTGGTAAAATCATTATGTTATTATAGTCTTTTTTAAGATCATTCAATGTCATTTAAGGAAAATCAAACACTTAATATCTTAGCATACTCAAATTTATAAGAAACTCTTAAACTCTTGAATACCACATTAATTATGTAAATCATCTCT